CCCAACACTTTTCTGCAGGAGAACAGCGGGAACCTGACAAAAGTAGAGACTTAAATAAACAGGGCCTTCCACTGCACCCAGCCTTGCTCTGCCTGCTCTTACAGAAAGGAAAAGGGCTGCCAGCTCCACAAATGCACTGTGTTTTGCAGCCCTGGGGAAACACTCACCAACCACCTGAACTGGCATTTTATGCACAGTCATTACTTTAGTATTTGTCTGTGAGATGTAGCAGTGAAGGTCATGTGGTACGGTATGATTAGGCTTTATCAAAGAGAAAATACAAGTGATTAGCTACCAGTTGATGATGGTAACTGTCCTGTGCTCTGCCTGCCATATCCAAATAACTGATTGGAATCTAATGTTGCATTTTGCTTCTTACCAGTATTTGCATCTGCTTCATTTGAGGATGTCTCTGCAGACAGCATCAGCAAATAAGACAGAATGAAAAATTAACTAAGCAGTGCAAAAAAACCCCAAACAACGCCATTTTTTAACAGTGCCTTGCCTCTTTACATCCACCTTGTATTCTTCTCTAAATTATACTTTATACACCAGCTTGGGACCACTGATATAGCAGTCAGTACCTGTCTACTGGGGAAAAAAATACCCTAAAGTTAACAGTGTTCAAGACTAAAGTATGATACAGTATATACAGACAGCTGAAAGCAAAAGTCAGAGGATTCAAAAATCACCTAAGAAGAATGTTTCATCAATCAGGTATGGAAACTAATTCCAGCAATTGCTGATCTCAACAAGCTAGGTGATATGAGTTCTCTTGCACTAGAACTAAGCGATGTAATGTAACCCTGGGCTAATACAGAGTCTATCAGCTATTACGCAAAGATTTATGTAGAATAATTGACTGCAACAGGTATTTTCTCAATTAGTGGCCATAAGGAGGAGCTTCACTATGACTTCAAGTGTGCATACAACATTTCTGCTTTTGTTAGATTCTTTGAACTGTAAGTCAGGCTTTGCTAGATCAGTGAATTAAAACACAATTGCATATCAAAGCCTAGAAAATGCACGTGGTGTTCAGATAATAACCTTAATTACAAATCCTGGAGCTATTTCTTTGCCTATTACCTGTTGCATAAAAGCAGCTTGCTCCCCAGATTCCATTTGCTGGGTTTGAACATCCTCATCACTGTCCGGTGGCTCCTCTTTGACTTTCACAGCCCCCACCTGCTGATCTACTCTGTCATCCACACCAGCACTGCTGCTCTCAGCCCTAACGCTGGCACCACTGGCCGGCGCTCGCTCTTCCTGCATCGACTGATCTCCGTGAAGCTCTTCTTCAGCTTCCTCCAGGTGACCGCCAGGCTGTTTGAGCTGCTCAATGGACTTAGAGAGCATCTGGAAAGAGAAGGAGTGGAACAGTTAGTGAGGCCTTTCACTGATGCAAAACACACGAGAACTACTAGATTTGCACTAAAAAAAGGAAACCTTCCACAGCAAACCCAGGCATCTGTACATTGCTAAACTATTAATGTACAGGGGAAAAAAGAACCAAAGCTCCTAAGTGAAAGATCACATGCTGTGCTGCAGTAGAAAATACCATGTATGTAGAGAGCACTATACAGTAATAGTAAACTAAAAATAAAGCAGGTCAGTGAAAACATTACACACCTGTTACATTGCTACAGAAGGTAATCAAAACAAATGAGTCTCCCTTCATACTCTTCAAACATAAAAGCAGAAATTTATTTAACTATATTACAGTTCAGTTTCCACAACACAAAATAATAGAGGAAATCCAAGATAGAAGAAAATCAGTAATCTGGTTAGTATTTGTTATAAGGGAATCAGGGAATGTTCACACAAGCTTCTCTATCAATTAAAGCATGAAGGTACTGAAAGTCAACAAAGAAGTGGTGACAGAGTTGGTGTCCATCCCTTTGCCTGTGCCATAAACACCCGAAAAGTACGTCTGTCCATGACAGGGAGGACTTTCGCTGTTGTTGTGCCCAGTACAGGTATCACAGCGTCAGCAGTGATGACTGTAACACAGCTACCCAGACAAAACTGCTTTTACACCATTAACTGCTATTGTAAAGCTCTGCTGAGGCACCAGATGCCCGAGTGTTGCAGTCAAGTATGGTTTATATTTTACTATTTAAGATGCAGCAGATGCATTCCGAAATTGTCTTAATGAGATCCAAAAATCCAAACCTGAAAAAAAATAAAAATCCCTGCTTTGCTGAAAGAGACAAAAATCAACTGAGTATTAGCTAGTGTTACATGCTGAGTTACTGGATGGCTTCAGTATAGCTACTCTGTCACAAAAAGTAGACAATCTAGTTTCATTCTGCTTGCTAACACATATAGAAAAATGCCACCCAGTGAAGGGCAGGGCTGTCCTGTAAACTATAATGAAGAAGCTACAGCTGGATTCAGGAACTCCCACAAAGTCAACAGGACAAGTTGAAAGATCTGTTTGTGCACTTCCAGTTGATGCGTAAGCCCCCACATCAGGGGAGAAAAGAATTTCACAGTTAAAGTCTACAGGTTTTGGTAACAGCAAACCCTCATTTTTGGGACGTAAAGGAAGTTTAATGTCTTACTAAAAAGAAACAAGCACCAAATCCCTTTTCATTACTGTAGTAACTGGCAAATCACAACACGCGCATGCTGCAGGTGGCATGCTCTAAACTGGGGAATCCTTACTACTGCAGCTGAAGCAGAGAGTGTCTCCTTCTATTAAACAGCATCTGGAAAACGTCTCAGTTCAAACCCATAAATCTTTTCCAGTTGTTTCTCAGGGGATGACACTGATCAAGAAGGCACTGAAGCTAAAGCCATGCATTCAGCTTGGGTACACTCCTCTCGGTCACTTAGCTAAATATCTGTGGACCAGCCCCTCTCCACTTGGGCAAGAGAAGAAAGGCAGGTCTGGCTGCTTGGCTGGCTGCTAGCAAACAAATACAAGGTGAAACATCTGTGTGACAGATAAGCATATACAGCTCTGAGAGGTCCCTAATGCTGATCCATGTGCAAACCATTCCATGTGCCAGTTACTTGACATCAGGTGGGTTATTCTGGAGGGAAAGCCTAGAGAAAATGAGTGCATGTCCACAGCAAAGTTAAGACATATTTAGCTCATTACTGCTCTCCATTCTTTCATGTTTTTTCACTTTCATGTCAGGATCTTTCTTCTTCATGCTGCTGTATGGCACAAATCTGCTGCTGAGCTTTCTGAGGCAACACATAATGCCCTGCAGTATATAATCCATATGTCAAACACCTTCAGATCCTTTTTGCATGTAATCAGTGGAGCGATACAAGCACATGTAAGGGGGCTGAAGAGACTAGAGTGGTATTTGTGTGCATTTTAATGTGCAGTGTTCCTGCTCTGGGGCCTCCTCCCATGCCATGGAAGTCAGCAGGGGATTTGCTCTAGACAGGAGGAACTAAATAACTTACATTTTCTAAAACTCTGTGAAATGAAAGTCTTTATATATTTACACAGTAGATATTACAAACTGGATTAATATTCTTTACTGCAAAATCTTATTAAAAATATCCTGAAAACTGTGACTGTAACTAAGCCTCAGGCAAGAGACTATGAGGCCCTATAATAATGTCCTCTCATATGATGGAACATGATAAAAATGAGTGGATGGCATGGGGAGTTGAGGGGACCTGAAACACCCATTAAAGTGGTATTTAAAGGCAGCTTGGCCCCATCTTATTTCCGTAATTACATTAGTAGTATTACTAGGAGACTGTTCAGTTCTCCAAAATCAGAAACATCCTACTTCGTATTGTATCGTATCATCATATCTCTTACATACTGTGGAAAATTACGTATCTGGTAACATGCAAAGATATATATTTATAGTCAATATTTCCATCTTATCCCTCTATCTAAAGCTGGATTACATAGCAGAAGATGTCCTTCCACTGTACAGCTGGATACTTCTGCTTACAGTTAATGTTGAAATCTTTCACTTTAAACCCCCACTTACTGTAGGTGCATGCAGGACTTTCTCATTTTAATGCATATTTTTGATTTCGAAAAAGTGACCGCTTAATCTTTGTTTTATTAAGACTACATTTAATTATAATAATAATAATAACACCATGATTTATTTAACTACTAAATTAGAGTTGTACAGATTGGTCTTCTTTAACCAGTACACTTTACTGTTATTGCTATTCCAGGTAAAGGAGTCACGCTAAAAATGGTTTCATGATAATGCATCCTATACTTTTTTTCCCTTTTATTTTCAGGAAATTAAATGGGGGGCAATACACATGAGACAAAGTAAATAGTGGCAACAGAAAAGGAAGCATTTACAGACATCAACTCCATTATGTAAGTGCAAGAGTCCAACCAAAAAAGACATCAAACACAATGTAATCTGCTTGCTTGTACAGAAAAATGAAAGAGTAAGTACAAATAACCTGGACACTAACAGATCATTTTATAGGTCCTTCAGTTGCAGTACCTGCCTTTGTTCCTCCTTGTAATGATAAGCTCTTGTAAAACAAGATTTTAAATAAAATGTCTTTACAAGCGACAAATCACAAAACCCTGCAACAGCTACTTCATACATTTCCTTCCTTAATTAATAATTCATTTTAAATCTAAGAACTTATATATACACTGTGGAACCCACTTTTTCTCCCTCTCTCCTATGGAGATTAGGAGATTACTTTGACCACTTAGGATGCTGTTATCTGCACTGAAACAACTTGACACCTACTTGCCACTGTCTCTCTTACTCATGTAGTACAATGTTTCTGAGGGATGTATTTATCTTTCAAAATCAATCTTCTGCATTATGGTCTAAAGATTAGCACTCAGCAAATCAGAAAATGCTGTGGGCATTTTCTCAATTCCAAAATCCACAGTCAACTCTTGCTATAGTTTTGTCCAAAGAATCCCCCACTATAGGCAATATTTGAAAGAATAGATGTGCTACTGCTCAGCTTCAGAAGATGCTAGTCAGATGTACAAGCTGGAATGCCAAAACCTCAGTTGTAATATGTTTAATGAAACTAGATGCCTTTATTCCAGCTCAACTTGATCCAGTCTTCCATATTTCATTAAACACCATCCAGAGAAGGGATGATTAATCTGGAGTTAACTATATTTTCAATATTCCTACAACAAATAAGCGTTCTGTTTTTTCAATCAATAAATTAAAAGAAACTTCCATATTATTTCTCATTTTTCTTAACAGATATTGGTCAGTTATGATCACTATCCAAAGCACTAACAAATTTTCACTTCTTATGAATTTTTTGTCATGGATTTTTTCACCTCACAGCCTTGCCAAGTCACTAGTTTCCTATGCAAAGATGATTTAAACCAATTAACATCCTGATAAACTGAAATTCAGGTACTCCTTATGTGAGTTTAAACATTATTCATACGGCTCCCACACTTCAGTACAGACAGCCAACTGCCCCATTATTTCAACCTTTACTACTCCAGTTATGAGGAGGATTTTACGATTGAAAACCAAGTATCAAAATGCTACTAATACATTTAGAGCACACGCAGGTTTCCCACACTGATAAAATAAAATCTTGGTCCCAGTGAAGATTGTCCTAATTTAGTTTCAGCCAAGGCAGGCCCTTATTCATCATGTGTCAAAAATAGCATTTAAAGACAGAGGGCTTTGTTCACATACCCTTCCCATGTTTTCTGAGATTTTCTTGAACCCAGACCTCTGCTAGGGGCTTTGCACTGACAATACTTTCACCAAAATCACCCTTTTTGCTGCAAGTGGCAGAGCCAAAGTTTTCTAGATACAGAGATAGGCAAATAATATCACGATTTTAAGCTTTTTATTGTAGTAGTGGTCTTTTGGTACCTGATTGCAAGAATCTTAATGGGGGTTTCAGACTATGGACTCCCTTTGTTGAGCAGAAGGAAGATCTGCAGGGGTGATCAAAGGGCCTTATGGGGAAATAAGCTGTCATTTGGGCAGAAGTATATTAAAGCTGACAACAGCAAAGCTTCTCTTCCCTAAGACAAGAGGAGTTCAGGTTACTTCACATTTGTTATTATTTTTTCCCCAGAAAGCAGGAACAAGGGTTTCTCCCTACTTTTAGTTGGGATGTCAACATTTGCAGAATATTTTCCGAAGGTCAGCATACTAGATCCCGCAGGTACAAATGTCAGACTTCAGTGGAGATGTATACCATTTCCCACATCAAAAGCCTGGCATCTGACAGCTGACCAGAAATAATCCATAGGGGATCTTCTCTTTGTTATTAAGGACAGAGACACACCTCTTGGCAATGATTTGTTTCTTTTCAGAATGGAAATGATCCAGGGGAATTCTTTACCTCTGACCTATGTTAGATTTTGCTTGTTATCACCCTCACAGCAGCACTGCCTTGCTGCTGAAGTATATTCTTTTCTCAAAGAAAAGAAATGACTTTTTAATACAAGACAAATACAAGATCAGTGGAGTGGGGAGAAACTTGTTCTTTTCCTCTTTTTGTTGTTACAGCCAGATTCACCTACATGTCCGCCAAAAAGATCTGACCAAAAGCAGTTTTCAGGGAGTGCTGACGCATGCCATATCATTTTAGTTCAGGGCAAACATTCAAGAACTGGGCTCAGTCAGAACACATTACAGCCTTAAGTACTTCAAGTCCCAAGCATAAGGAAGAAATGAAAGAGAAATGGAAAAGAAAAAGAAGGTATTAACTGTTTCTAAGCTCTTGATCAACTGACATTTCATAGCTTTGTCAGCTTAAAATGGTTCTGTTGTTTCTCACCAGAATTTTAAGATAATGTTTGAGTACTTCTTCTGAAAAACAAAACAAAACAAAAAGCCCTACTACATTTTTCATGGCTGAAAAGGAGATAATTATATCTCTGTGCAGATTTCACTATACAGCCTACAAACAGAAGGGTAGAGGATAGAAAAATGGAAAATAACAAGTGCATGTATTCTCCTGATACATACCCAAACTTTTCCTAACAAATGAGAAGATATTGGGTTGCTTTGCTACATAGTCTATACTTTCTACTGTTTTAAAGTTCAAATAACTCTGGTTTCCGAGTTTAATTGTAAAGCCATGCAAATTACATAATGAACTTCAATTGCAAATAGAGGTAATTTTTAAGAAGGAACAAAGTATATTCTACCATGCTAGCAGAGTTAAAAAGCCTTATGCAGGCACAGGTGTTCAATCTGAACCTTCAAGTTAAAGCATTAAAGAATATAGTTTTAAATTCAGTACTGATTTGATCTTTTTGCACTCTTGTCATGGGCTACTCTTAAATTCCAGGTTTCAAAACTCTATTTTTTTCTAGTAAGTATATAAGAAAGCCCCCTGGCTTTCTGTATGCCTGCGAAGGACAGATACATTACTAGAGCACTGACATTTTTCAGTACCATTCATCAGAAGGGTTCTTCTGAGAATGGTGCTGTGTAAGAACCCAGACGCTGCAAACTAATGTCTGATAAACCACCCACATTCCCAGATAACACACTGCTTCTGTGGATGCAGCAAGACCCTATTCCTTCTTAGGTGTATGCAGTTCTGATGAGTTACTGTGCTCCTGATTAAAACTAGCTGCTCTGGGAGTAGGTATAAAGGAGTCTGAGAACCTATTGGGAGCAAATATGGAGGTTCAAGGCATCAAAAGCCCCTAGGATAAACTTCTACTATCTGCATATGTATATAGCCTATACTGTAAGGAATGAAAGCTAGGTTCACTAGGTATTAAAAGAAGGAATTGTTTTGTCTCTTTTTATCACAAATAGCCATTTAAGAATGAAAGTGCATTTCAAGTACAAGAAGGAGTTATTCACTTAATGTATATATTCGATGCAGTTTAACTCATGAAAAAAAAAGAAAAAGGTTACTGAAACAAGCATTATCCCAAAGCAACTGCAGCCTTTTCACTTCCTTGTGCAGCTTAGCTCTTGTGAGGTGCAATGCATTCCTAGTCCTACATGACCAGGAAAATATTTATTCTTCTTAAGTTTAATTTTCACATTCAGGACAAATGTACCTCTATGCCACAGCACATATCTCTCAATGCCATGGTAGACTTTATGTCAATAAGCGTATCATCTAACAGAAATGTACCAGCTTTTTTTCTTTGCTTTGTAAGGATTGCATGAACTGATCGGTTTGTAGTGAATAGCCACAAACAGCACAAAGACTCAGTACTTCACCAGTAAAAATTCTTTTCACTTCAGACAATCTAGGGCAGGTGAAATATTTTCAAAACCTGAGGCTATGAGATATACATATGCCATCTTGATTAAACATATGGAATGCATACTAAAAGAAAAGCCAACTGGAGTCCTAGTTGAGTAATCAAAACACCCAAGCTGAGAGGGGTTAACATACAAGGATCAGCTCTGAACTTTGAAGTTTTCTGGTCTTCATTTTTCCTAATTAAGACAAGATTTAATAACCAAACCACTGTACAAACTATGTACTTAAACTCTAGGTTTGTTTCTAATTTTGTTGGGAATTCTTAGTAGATTCCAAAGAATCAGTACCCCCTGGAAAGTTCACCCAGTAAGGTGGATTGATTTTTTTCTTTTCTCTTAGGTACAAGGGCTGAATGTCCACTTTTCATCTTTTCTTCTTTGCCACTGCCTCTTATATATGTTATTAAGTAACCCTCAAACAAAACTGAAGATGCATGACTACTATCTTCACATTTCTAGAGGAGCTCCAGCAAGCAACTTTTGGAAAGCTAAGTAGTTAGTGCAGAAAAACATCCTCCAGATAAAAGCATTTAATGACTTGCATATCTTCATTTTAGAGCAGGGAACACCATCACTTTTGTTGCAGACGCATTAGCTCCTGACAAATCTTTTTAGATTCTGCTGCTCTTTGTTTATTAATGGATGACTTCTCT